ATACAAATAAATGCTGTATTATTATTATTATTATCAAAACTGAATTATAGCTGAAAACAGAAATTCTGATTACAAATCTTTTAAAAAAAAAACATTGAAGTGTTGAAAAAGTCCAATAACCTCTAAAAGCACTACGAAAAACACCTTATTATTTTATTGTTAATACTGTCTCAGAAATCTCCATACAGTATCAACGAAACTTAAACTGTCATACAACTTTAAACCCTGCATGACTTTCCTAAGCTGACGACACGTATTTAGGATAAGAGACGTTCATGTGCTGTAACAGCTACATACAAATGATTCATCACACGTACTTTCCAAGGTCCTCAGAATTCATTACGAGACATGCCCCTATCAAACACGTATACATATAAAGCACAGATAATAACCCACGCAGTTTTATCCCGTCTCATCTTCGTTACATTCCATCGATGCACCGATCTTATCCATAAATGCTTTCCTGACGATGTTTGGCGCAGAATTTCAAACTTTAAGCATGTAAAGATCTTGATTCTGCTCATTTCAGTTTTCCTGGATGTAAATCGTCAATTTGAGAACAGATAAAATTACAGAAGGCCTATTGAAAGAACATCTCCATCACTTGCACCGTGCCCATGTATAGCGGCTTTAAATGAAGGATCACTTAAGAGCTATACAAAATATATACATATTGAAATCTCACTTTTAAATGCTGCTCATGCTACGCCTCCCTCACCCAGTTCATGATACAGTGTTTTGTGTTCAATATTCAATGCTAAGTGTCGTCCGTAATTCTTCCCAGATTTCCGACCCACAACTACAATGTACATGTGCACTCAATCATAAAATACATCATACCTAGTACATAGCATAGAAAAGTGTGATTTGTAACACAATGATATTATTGACTTATAAAATCACACAAAATGTTATCCATGGTTTCCATCTCTTACTGTGGAGACAGTAATCCAGAAACTGCATAAGTTCAACTTACGTCACAAGCACACTACCAACCATATTTCAAGTACATACCATATGAGCATTTACGCATCGTTATTTTGATCGGTACCTGGTGCATTTCATTAGAGAGATAAATTCATGCAATTCCAAACTCTGAAGCCAGAGTCGTAAAAACTTCAGTAGAACCTTCGCAACTGTCTTCCACTGCAAACATAAACCCTTTGTCTTTCTCTCATTCTGGAATTTTGTCAGACTTTCCTAAGATGCAATTTGAGAATGGGGCAGCTACCCATAAGCATGATGAAAAACATGAATCAAAGTTTTCAAAGTTTTTTTTTTAAATTCCGGCCGAAACGCTTTTGCAGTGTCAATGCTCGCACTAAAACACCAGTGATCGATTCTGCTTTTCCTTCACATTACTCTCTTCACTTCCGTGCTAATACACGCAGAGCAGCAACAAGTGATGCATGCGCACAATCCACACACAAACAAAAACAGAATAACAGAATGGTAGCTCAAAAGACTGATTTTTTAAATTGGTCTTTCTGCAATGCAAATGGGCCTTTTGCTGATGAAATACTTGAATTTAAAAATTAACCTGTGGATTGCTGGGTTTTTTGTTTGTTTTTTAATTGCGTCTGGAATGCTTCTGGTTTTGCATTGTACATGCTCACTCTCTCTAAAAACAAGTGAATTACATGCATTCCTGTTTTTGCTCACGTGGTCACAAGTTTCATTCCTAGTAAAGTTTGGGATAAATCGGCAATACCACATTGATAGTTACGAGAGCTTATGAAATAGAAGGAAAAAAAATTCTTTGACCTCAGAAATGCAATTTGATTTTTGAGCATCCATTTCATAGCTCTTAGCCCAAGAAATCTTAGGCGTTGTGGCTGTTACAGCATGTAATGCAGACAAGAGATTTCATAGCACACAATATAAAATTATCATCTTTTTCTTTCTTAACAGATCACTGCGAATCGTTATGATGGATTCAACAGCCATCAAAGCTTGAGCTATCATCATAACTGAGGCTACATGTAAGAACAGAAACCTCAAATCTTATTTCACGTTTCAAAGATTTTGCAAGAAATTGCAATTATAAAGAGCAATTATAAAGAAATTGCATACTTTAATTTTTGCTAGGTAGGACAAGCATTAAGGCTTTTCCTACCTAACAACACATAATCTATGCAATTTGCATTCTGACTATTGAAATACAAATATTTGTAACAGGTGAATGAAACAAATTGTAATAAAGCACTTCACAAAGATTTGTGCATTACATTTGATAGCATCACGAAAATGGCCTACTGCGTAAATCTCCCTACAGTACATGATGATTCATGTTTTAATCAAACATGACAATGCCATTATGTGCGATAACTGAACCTAACCATTCGTGAAGTAAATCAAGGGGGTGACCTTAACACCTGATGACCCTCCAACCTTATCAGAACATCTGCACATAGTGATGCATACTGGTACATGTACTAATACAGTCAAACCTGTCTAAAGCAACCACCCAAGGGAAACACAAAAAGTGGTCTTTGTAGACAGGTGGTCTTTGTACACAGGTTCCTTTAGAACATGTTTCAATGAGAAACCCTTTTCAAGGGAAACGCAGAAAGTGGTCTTTGTAGACAGGTTCCTTTAGTACATGTTTCAATGAGAAACCATTTTCAAGGGAAACGCAGAAAGTAGTCTTTGTAGACAGGCTCCTTCAGTATATATGTTTCAATAAGAAATCATTTTTAAGGGAAACAAAAAGTGTAGTCTTTGTAGACAGGTGGTCACTAAAGCTCCTTAAAGCTTAAAACTCCTGCTCAATGAAAATCCATTCAAATACTCATTCAAGAATGCATCAGATCTAAAAATATCTGCAGGACAGACAGAAGGACCCTTTGGAAGATAATCATGAACATTTGTATTTCCTATCGCCATGGTAAATACTAAATAGCAAGTTTTCATCGAGCATGTGGTACCAGAGTCTTCACAAACCACTTACACCTTTTGACTCTGACGCTGCAGAGGAGACTTCCAAGGAATCTCAGGGATCTCGGGCTGCGTTCATGCTTAAATTTTGAAGGCAGAATGAGCGATCTGAAACGCTCATCGTAAACGCTCATCGTGATCGCAGTTCCACGATGTAGTGTTCATGCTTACTTCTCTGGCTCCCCAGGCAATTCTCCGTGTGTGGCCTTAATTGGTCTTCCAGCTGGATTCGCAAACCTTCACTGTGCATGCTACGTAGACCCACTAGAGGTCAGTGCGTTGACCCCATTTAAACGCGTTTACAAATTGTAAACGCATCTTTTTGTGAGTTTACGATCGGCGATCGTGATCGCCGTTTTTCGGTGATTCTACAAAAGTGAGCTAAGACGCAACCGTGTTTTAAACTAAACGCGTAACAGATGCCTGATTCTGGCCGTCAAAATCAAGCATGAACGCGCCCTTAGTCTGCAACTTGTCATCAATTAAGAGAAAACATGAAAATGCATCTTCCGTGAGAGAATCGAATAATTTGTGTGCAATTGAGGATCCATAGCCTCATTTTTTTTCTTTCTTTTTTAATCTAATTGGGTTTTTACTTTTTATGGGGTCATTTTGAAGCATGCTATAATGCAGTGTGGTGTTTATTGTGCAGAAAAATTGATATCTTCACTCTACGCATGCAGGGTTCTTACTAAGTTAACTTATAGCAGGAAAATTGAATGTAGAAGCCAGTAAGCAGAAATTACCTATCTGTACCTTTGAGACACAAATTGCCCAAGGAAAAATGTGCCCCAATTCTTGGCAAATTTCATGTTTATATGAAGTACTCTACTTACGGTTTGCTCGTTTCATGTTCCTGCTACCCTAATGATCCTAACCTCATTTTGTTTTGAAGATTTCAAGGATTGCAAACGTCTGACGCTATCTTTAATGTCGGAATTATGTAAACCACAGAGCCATGAAAGACATCCCCCTTGATTAATCCGGGCATTGCGCTGGCAATGACAGGCAAGCCCGTAATTTCTCTGTAATTGTTTTGTCTGAGGGTGCGGCATACTTCAAAACGTGAAACGGCTTGCTCCGCTGCCTCATTGCCACCCAGCCGGATTAACACTCGTGACTAGACAGTCGGGCTTACCTTAAGTTGGGCAAACGAGGTTTTCCAAAACATGCCAGTCGTCTTAGAATTAATCAGGTGAAGAGATCATGGGACAAGAGAAGCGACTGAAAAAGTTCAAGATATATTGTCACCCAAATGAAGAAAATATGAACCAAAGCAAGCAAGCGAAAGAGAGAGAGAGCGAGCATGACAGAGAGAGAGGGAGAGAGGGAGAGAGAGGGAGAAGCGAGGGGGCATTCAACTATAACTGCTTGGGGGGATAATGACAACATTCAATAATGTTCCATGAATGTACTTTGCAAGTTCATAATCATACATGAGCTTGTGGTTTACTTTTAAAGCTAATTGAGCATCATAAGCACTAAGCAGGCAGAGCTGGAAATTCGATTTTCTTTATGCCTCTCTGATAAGGCTAATTGATTTTTACTCTCCACAATATTCCTAATTCAGCATTTTCCATTTATGAAGCCTATTCCATTACCAAGATGACTTGAGGGTGGTAATAAAATGCAGGATTTCAAGTTCTCAAACTTTCTTTGATAAAGTGGTGGCATTGTGATCTTGCTTGGTCGAGTGTCTTGATCTTCATCGCATGCCTTCAAACACACTGGATGAGAACCTCAGTACCCCCTCTACAAGCTTTGAACTGAAGTAACCCTCCTCCTCTTCCTTCACAAAGTCCATCTTTTGGTTTTGCCACAATGTACAGATATGCTCCATCGACACCAACCTATTACATCACAAGCAATAATATGAACTACGAAGATAAAGATATACAAGGAGAAAAATAATCAAATTGTATTAATGGATGATTTTTGCTAGTGAGCCCACACCTTCTTGCCTATTAAAGCCTAAATTTCTTTCAGAAAAGTAGACAAAATATCCTCAACATCCATGATTTAAACTTTTGTGCATAAAAAATCAAGCGCCCGTCTGGCCTTACCTGTTCTCTTATGGAAGGTGAAGGAAGCCTGGAAAGTGCTCGTCTGCCAGCCCTGGCTCCTGAAGACGATGCGGAGCTCGTTACCCTGTGACTGCACCACCAGAGGAAGGGGCTGCTCCCCTTGGCAGAGCGTGGCCAGCGGGGTAGCGGCCTTACCCAGGGGGCCGCCGCTCTTTATCACCGCCCTTGGTAGGCAGGAGCGGCCGGCGGCGGGAAGGGGTGTCCCTTCCAGCCGGGTTATGTTCAGCACTATGTAGTGGTCCGGAGGGGCGCAGACCCGGTAGCGACAGGTGGACGTGTGGGAGGTACCTCGGTTGTTGTTGCCTCGGTTGTCTTTGTGAAGTGTGTCAATGATTTGGCCAGACAGGTCGGTGAATCTCTTGGAGCACTCAGCTGCAATGTTAAACATATCAAACAACGATAAGTTATGTTGTATTCTATTACCTCTCGTACTGTACACTAAAAGACCATGGGCCAAGCCTCAAAATTCTTCAGTTCCGTGGTCCCCCCCCCCCCCCCCCCCCCCGGGAAGTACTTTTATTGATCATTTAGGACAAATTATCAATGGACATATATCTAAGGCATTGGATATATGACTAATCAGATTAGTTAGATATGCACCTACATGTATCTTATAGGCTGTTAGCACATCTCTCACGTACCTACCTGAATTGTTTAGCAAATCCCAACAAAAAGAAACATTGTAGATTTTAAGTAATGAACTCAAATTAAATCAAAGAAACATGCTGTAGTTCAATACAAGATTAATATTTGACACTTGACAGGGTTTTACTTTATCATTTATTGCACAACATGTGGGCTCCACTTGACTTTCAGTACAAGACGTGGATTTATGACCTTGAATTTCTCAGAATTTCATCACTTAATGTTCCCTAATCTACAAATTTAACAGACAATAGATTTATTAAGTTTCAAAATGAAACTACATTCCTGTACAAGAGGGCATGTAAGATATCAAGCTCTTGATTTCACTTTGCCAGACAGAGCAAATATTTGTGGTTGACGTTAACAAGTCAAAAAACATTGTGGGTTTTGTCCTATTGATAACATGGGTATTTTACAACACACTGCTTCTTCCTGACGCAAGAACAAATAAGGCGGGACCGAGGGTTCATACTTCAATGGATACCAGACACCCTTTACAACGATTACATTTACAGAGAATCCTCGTAATATACTGATCAGTCTACGAGAAGGGTCCCCGACGACGAGTGTAATCTTTGCGGTGAGACATTCTTAAACTCTGCGGTTAGCATTGCCTAATATTGCGGTTTTGAAAGTGAAGACTGTGGTTTTGACACACGTGTACAAAGATATTTGGGGAGATCATTGCCCACATCCACTAGTTATTGATAAAGAATTCCCACTTCCAGTTCTAGAAAGTACCTTAGTGTTTGACAGTTTTGTTTATAATGGATTTTACGATGATGAGAAGATAGTTAATCAGAGAAATATTTGAAACAGAATGAACCTTAAAGGTATTACAAAGTTTTGGTATGGGGTCATGAATTTGGTTCAAATGAACATATTGGAAGCATATGCGATCCTACAATATTCAGTGATCGTTGGCGCAGTTGAAATCGAGTCTAAAGTTGTGAAATTTTAAATAATAAACTATTTATGTTGTATAGCTCCCTCTCAAGGTCAAGATATTAATTAAGCTATAAAACAATGTTTCTTGACTAAAATCGACCAATTAGCTATTCCCGTTTGGAAATTAGTTATCACAACTACATATTATGAGATTTTCAGGGTCGCAGCTACCATTGTACGGCCGTAGTCGCTATTCGAAATTTTATCAAAAATTACCGGGAGCACCGGTAAATTTTTATATTCGAATTTTCTCGAAAGCAGAAGTGTTTTAGGGGCTAAATTTTCTAGTACTTCTAATACATCCACAGGGGCATCCAAATATATCAAAATTGTAAAGAATCACTATCCACCCAATTTTCAAAATTCCCAAAACTTTATATTACCTTTAACAAAGTGCATGTTGGTTTGAAAATGAGGTCTTTAAACATTCACACTATATGCAGATGAAGGCATGGGAGTGAAATCATGTAGGCTAGTATAGCGGATGAGGGCCTGGTTGATGTACCGTAAAAGAGGGGAGAAGAAAGAAATGTGTCAACACGAGCCGCCCCAACAAGGGGAAGGTCGGTCGAAGGGAGAGAATCTGAGGATTGTGGGAGAAATGTTATTACAGTGCAAATCCTTCCACGCCTTGACCCAAAATAGCATTGTCTGTCTGTCCGTACAGCGATCGATCAGGAGTATTCGTAGCACCGAGCCAAACTCTAGCGCATGATGATCCTTGTATGAAACGCCTTTACAGAACGGCAAATGAATGTGGTAGGAATTGATTTAGAGGATATTAATGATGACATTTGTATCTATGTAGTGCTAAATCAGGGCTCCACATTAACTGTATATATGTTAAAGGGACTTGGTTACATTGTTCTGATGAGAGAAAATGGTGCTAAGGTAGCAACTTCAATGCTAGATGTACAATTAAAGATAATCTTAAAGTTTGAGTGCAAACAGACCATTATTAATGATACAAATTGGAAAAAACTGATCTGATTGATTCCTTAATTCTCCCAACTATAATTATTATTACAATTTAATAGTAAATGAAAATGGTCACAAAGCAATGAATCGGCTCTCTATACCATTCCAGACATTTAAGTGTTGAGAAACTTTCAAAAGCCTGTTTTATGTCTTATTTTCATAGAAAAATGGTTGGGAAAATTCATAAATGGTTGGGAGATTTACTGTTAGAGGGTGTCGCACACTGACACCTTCAAAGAAAATCATATATCTTTGTTGTTTGAGAATTTTGTCAGGTTTTTTTTGCACGTTAGAGGGTTAGTACAGTAGAAGGAATATAATAAGTGACATTTCTTACAAAAATTACGCAGTTTTTTCATCAACATTCAACAGTGTTACCGAGTCACTTAAAGGGGCAGGATTGAAATTTTGGGGTGAACATGTGTGCATTGAGCCCTATGTAAAAAAAAAAATGGGGGGGGGGGGGTCTGGACCTAGATTTTGGGCACCCATGTGTCCCGGCACCCGCCAGTGTCGAATCCTGGTTAAATACAAAGCTGTCAAATATGTTTCCATGTTCCTCAAAACGATGTTGTTGTGGGACTCATGCCCACATAAAAAAACTTGTGTGGCCTAATTCGCTTAGTAACCCCTCATAAAAGTAATGTGATCTTGATTTCTGTTACTGTTCGGTTTCCAAAGTATCCAGACACAAATTTGACCCAAAATATTATGTTAAAAGGAAAAGGAAATTTTTATTTTTTTAATGTGTACATTTATGGATGGATAATTCAACACCTTTTGTGTGACTTTGCATAAACACAAAAGGTTCGATTTTCATTACAAGCACTGGAATTCACTACATTGGCACACATTACTGATATATGATACAATCTTGAGCCGAAACCCATCTAAAATTCTATATATTATCCATCTCAACATCTCCGTGTTGGAAAGGGGTTTTCCCTAGACTCTCCCTGCATTAATGATGCATAATGCAAATGTGATCGGGGGAGAAAAGGGGGAGAAAAGAAAAAAAATGTATGTTATTTCTAAAAAGTAAGTGTTCAAAATTATTGATGTAAATTTTGAGTTCATCCGGCAGAATTTCAAAGGCATGTGTGAAAGTTATAATAGAAAAGATAATGTTTATTTTATAATTCCACGGGGTGATTTTTAATTTTGCAATCGTCCATGTGAGCAATCTGACGGAGGCGATTTTTTTTTTTTTTTTTTTTTTTTAGCTCACGGGGGCGATTCGTCCATCCCCCCCCCATGTCTTTTGTGCATTACTGTGTTAACTATTCTCAGGGTAAAGAGTACTCAGTGGGTATTCAGCACATTTACGCTAATTCTTTGCATTTTGATGGACTTAACCAAACCGAAACTCATGATGGTTTCATAAGAACACACACTGATAATTGATATTATTTTCTTGTCATGAAGGTTTACTACGAGTACGAATTGGTCAATTACCAAACATGGATCTGTATCAGGCCAGAGGCCCCCCCCCCCCAGAACTCATTATGCTAGATACAAAAACTGGAATGCTACACAAACAGGATTACGTGATTATTCCTATAATGTAAAGTTGTAAACGGTGAGAAAAAGAAAAATAAACAGGAAAGGGTTGCTTTTTATCATTTGTTATTAAAGCAGCTATGTAAACAAAATTGATATCACAACTTTTGAATTAATGTCTATGTTCAAACAGGGCAACAACAATTCCTATGCACACATACATGTACATACAACTATAGGCTACATATGCATGTACCAAAATACGGAAAAGCATACAGGTGCTCGAGCACAGGGACGCTGTATTTGGCGTTATACACCTGTACATGATCTTCCTTGGATAATATATTCAGCCTATGAAAGTTGGATAGATAAAAGGTCTTAGAAATATAAATGAAAACATGTTTATTTCTAGCTCCTACAGGCGTGGAATAAAGGAGCTTCAAGTAATGATTGAAGCCCCCCCCCCCCAAAAAAAAAACAAAAAAAAATTGTTTAAAAAATAAATTGGACTGTCGTCAATATTACTAGTCTTAATTGCTGACTCTATATTCTATTTACATGTATGAATGCTATTCATATTTCATAAACACTGCATGTCAATATTCAATATTCACTATTAAAAAGCTATTATGGCAAATCGTCCTGTACACCAGTGTTATAATATTCTGTGTATTACCGAATATCTTGTTGTAGGCCCTACATTTTTGTCTGTCTGGAAATACATGTGACACGCCTTGACAATATTTTTTTATATTTCCAACTGTCATCCTCTTTTTACTAAATAGCAGACTTGAATACATTCATAGCATTTCGCCAAGCTACACATGTAGTTCTCAACTTTCTTATTATAACCAGAGTTTTTCAGTGTGCATGCCACATACTAGCCAGCCAGCCAGCCAGCCAGCCAACATGCACGATCTAGAGAGGGTAGATGTATTCCCCTGCACATGTATGTATGCACTGAGCTCCTCCTCCTCCCCTACTCATACACACAGACACACATACAGCAGACACACACACTGATGTCTGTACTAACATGAGCTGGCTTGAAGGTTATAGCATTGGGTTCATTTGCATGTCTGGCAGACATACAAGGTATACACACAAACCACAGACACAGCATTACAATACAGGGGCTTTGCAGATTTTTTGTTACCCCCATTGAATGTTCGTTCTTGTGTTGAGTGTGTTTTCCGAGCTGAGTTATGTTTCTTCACAAGCTCTTTTTACTTTACAAAAAATGGGAAGGGGGAGGGGGGCCCGAAATGGTATGACAAGGGGGTGCATGTGTGTGAAAGAGG